GATAAGCTAAACACTAGTTCCAGTCATCCAGGAGACATCTCCAAAGCCTACGCAGCACTGCACTTCATGCCCTGACCCCAGAACTCTTTTTGAGGCTTTGTAAGACCTACATACGACATCACTTAGAGGTCCACAACGTCACTCCTTCACCATATCTGAAAGAGATTGAACCTCCTAGAGAAACTCCAAAGGAGAGCTACAAAGTGTCGTGGAAATGAGGCTAAAACCATATCAGGACAGACTGAAAGATCTAGAACTCTAATCTCTAAGCTGCTGTAGATTAAATGGTGGCTCGATAAAGGCTTACAAAACACGAAGTAACCCATGTCACCGGAACATTGGAATCTTACCGAACGGCAAATGCGGCGATCCTCGTGATAACCCAAGAAGAATCGCACACCAAGGAGCAAAAAACCGTGTGCGTTCACACTTCTCTCTCTCTGTGAGTTTGCGACCAGTGGAAAGCGTTGCAAGCTGAGATTTCTACTGCTCCGCCAGTTCACAGCTTCAAGAAGAGGTCGGATAGTCACGCAGTGACACACGGCTTACGCTCATCCAGCTGGGATATGGACTAGGTTGACATGAACTACTAACTCAGGACGGCCAAACCATTGTTGAATACGTTGTAAGACCACTATCAATGCGAGTCTGGCCCGACCTTAAACTTCCCTACGGTCACCCCCTTCAGTTGCAGTCTCATACTAATAGGATTACTATCTCTATTCCCATAAGCCGCCCCATAATGTGATGTTCTCCTTCTCTTCCCACCGACTTTACTTAACCACACCTTAATAAAAACTCTCCTCGTCACCCGTCTCTCATGAATCTACCGATGCTTCTTCCTCCGTACGGTCTCTCTTTTCCTAATAGTTTTTTCTATTGTTTCCTTTTCTTTGCACTTTCTCTCCCTTGATTTCTCTGGACATGTTTTCCATCCCATTTTTACAACTATTCCGGCCAACTGTCTGCTGCCACAACACTTGAGGAACCCATCTGCACCACATTCCTCGGAAAAAAACAACACATACTCCCTACAAATTTAACCAACACCCAACCGCCACAAAACATCCACCTCACCGAGCTAAAGGCAAAAAAGCAGAGGGGATTTCCTCGTCCACTGCAGGAGTGAACCGAACAACTGGAGCCAAGCCCTAAGAACTAGACGCGAGAGATCAAAAACTACCAGTTTTCTACGCTCGCTCTATCAATATTGGATATTAGAGGTAACCAGAACTACAGTAGTCGAGTGGGTAGACCTACTGCATCGGAATCCACCAAAGACCTGGAACCACTCCGCGAGGCTGAGAAGAGTGCGCAAGGAAATCAACTGATTTACACTTGCTAGTGAAAATATATTGTCTATTGGATTAGTGTGCGGAGTTTATGAGTTTTCGCGGTACAGTGATTCTGAGTGTTATAAACTGTTTCAGATTTCTCCTCATTTTTACACATCGTTACATGTCTGTGCTGGCTGTGGCTTCTGTTTACAGTTTTCTTTTCTGTCCCGGTTGCGCTTGCTGAGGAAGCGCTTGAGTTTTGGTGTTAACGTCAACATGTAAGAGTGGCTTAGGGGACATCTACATGAGTGCAGGCAAAGGGTTAGAGTCTGAAAAGTATTATCTCAGTAAAAACCGGTTACCAGTGAAGTTCCTGTCGTTGCTGTATTGGAACTCTTTTGTTTCCGCTCTGTGGTAATAAATTATCTTGTGTAGTGTAGTTATTATCCATGCAGTTAGCAGTTAACCTTCAGGCTTGGAGGATTGTCCATAACAATGAAGAGGAGACAGCAGTTCAGACTGACTTGGATGCACTAAATGAATGGCCTAAACACTGCAGCCTGAAGATCCACTCTAGGAAAAGTGTAGTCATGCACATTGGTAATGTTTCTTTTTCTCCTTAATCAGTAGGCGGTTTGACATGGTTTCGGTATATAAAACAAAAAGATTTTCGGGTTTTTATCACGCATAGTTGATAAAAGAACAGTAACGAGGCTGGAACTAAGGCGTTCCGCATGCTATGGACACTCGGTAGGCTTTTAAGTGCTTTGATCAGGAAATATTTAGGATTCTACCTACCTACCTATCCTACCTACCTAAGACATCTAAGATACTACATACATGTGGCTAAATCTTGTTACAAGGGAGAAGCAAACATGGTTGCAAAGGGTAGTGATGAGAATTACCTGATACAAGTGTGGACTCTGGGACTATAATCCTAGACCTCTCCCTTGATAATCGTTTGGTTCTTGGATAATAGAAAAAAACTGGTAAACTTTAGGTTTGTTGTCAAGTGAAAAAGTGTACTAAATGTAACACTGTATACAGGTTTTGCGTGGAGCTGTGGTTCATTGGTTTAGAGAGTTGACTTTCAACCACTGAGTAACTGATTCGAGCACCGATCCACCCACCTATGTTTCATTGATTCTCATACATTAGGTGTGGCTCGTTTCCTGCTGCACGAATAGGCACAAGGTTGGTGAGTGCATCTCGATTCGATTCCGTCTTGGCATTTTCTACGGTTTTCTAGAATGACATTTGATCAATCTGATTCTCATATTCGGGAACACCTGGCTTTTACGTATGTCTGGGGTTCAGATTTCGGTTGTGAAGGCTTTCAAAGAATTTCGGGCGTCTTTGACGAATCTAGGAGGTACTAAGTTAGTGACAGGACTTTCAAATCTCTGTAAAGTGTTTCGGAAATCTGAATCCTTTCCTATTGTATCGTAAAACAAGTGAAGGCCTTGTATTAGTACATCGTATCTTGAATAACGATTTGAGTCTTAATCTTTAATGCTATTACTCTTAGGGTTATCTAAGAGGTCATATTAAAAACATTCAAGCGCCGTGGTCAAATAAATACAAGCTACATGGCTTAGTTTCCGTAGCACTGAAGACATGCTTTTGCTGTCCGAGTTTGCAAACACCGCTAAACTCACTCAGCGCTCTGGCTACCTTTCTACAACAGTCGGTTAAGATCTTGTTGTGAGCAGATTTATAGTCGCGAAGTCATGTCTCCCTAAAAATCAAACAATTCCCTTACCATTAGTCACCTGCTTCATATTCTAGCAGAGGCGAGACGTCTAATTATTGTTTTCGCTGCCATATCTTCGACACGCTAGTCACGAACCGAGTTTTAATCAGGAAGAGTTTAAGATTCCCCTCGTGCTCCTATGTGTTCTGCTGGGATTAAAAGATTTTAAAGCACAAGCTTTATAAAGCCCTCTAAATCAGTCTAAAGTTGGCCTTGTTGCACCTCAAGCAGGTAGTTTAGGGATGCTTCGGTCAGACTTCCAGGTTGGTTGAACCACCCTACCTTATTTCTCTTTCAAAAACCATAGAAACCGTTGATGGTCTAAAAGGCTTAAAGTTATCAACAATACACTTTTTAATTATATAAATCATAACAGTCACGTAAGTTTGCAATTTTCCATACATGAAATAGCACATCGAATTCCTCTTTTGCTGAGAACTTTGCGCGCGCCCACTGTTGATGTGGTGGCACCATGACACGACTTATACTATGAACTAAGTGGTAGTTGGACACCTTTTAGAGTTTCCTGAAACTGTAGTAAATTGAGATAAATGTCAGCCATCTGAAAGCCCTTCACTCTTCACATGGTGAGTGACGAATTTCTATCGTTTAGTTATTGTTACTAACATGGCTACTATCAGATTATCGTATGTATCATGAATGATATAAAGTAAATGTATGAAGTTCATCAACTGCGCCTCGAAGCTGTTAATGTATAAAGGAACAAGAGTAATGTTATTAACGTAGCGGTAACCATACTGGTCATCGTGTGACAACAATTACAGACTGGTGTTTGACGGAGTCCATTATTATTATCAGTATTATCACTATTTGGAAGCTGGTTAGAAGCAAAAAATTTTCTGCTATAAGGCAGTTGAATCGATAGATGAGATTCATTTGACTCACATTGAGTCTCAATCAACTCGCAACGAGGGCTAGTTTTACTTCCCAGAGCATCTAATTTGTTAATGGAGGTAAGTCTTCAAATTTCAACTTTCAGTATTCAGTCTTGTTGTTGTTAAGTATTGAGTTTTATGTTGTGCAAGGATGTTTGTGGCTTCTTGGTAGAGGATTGAGTATTCTCGAAGTATCCCAAAGGAGTGGTTTCAGTACTGTTCAGCTAATTTTAATTGTTCATGGATATGAAGATTTTCGCTTTGAAGTGAATGAAGTTTGTTGTCATGCTGTTTTTGTTTCGTTTTCCAATGTATGATTATTTGTGGTTGGAGAAAGTCTAGCTTGTAAACAGTGATAATTTATTACGCAATCTGCCTAGTTACATAATTGAAGGTGTACTACAACACTGTTCATGTGTAACAAAAGTACTATTTGTTGTGAGTGGTTCGAAGGAGGATTATACGAATGGATAGTATGTGCGTGCATGTCGTTGATTCGTAATATTGCCATTGGTGATGATATTAAACAAAAGCGTTTGTTTCTCAAAGTGAACCACACTGAAACTCATCATTCGGATTCCACTCATTTGTGCTAATTTTGTATACAGTTGTAAATCCTGTGAACACTTGCTTTGGATCTTTTTGTTCCTCCTTTGTCTTCTCTGCTGATGTACCCATCAACAAAGATAAGCGTAAAGAACAGTTAGCCAAGTTCCTGTTCCAAATTTATTTGCACAGAAAAGAAATACTCTTGAATTGGTCGTCGTACATAGTCCAGGTCTGCTAGTTTATGGCTATTATTTCAACTAGAGTAAATATGCTCAGTTCGTCCATGCGTTAGATTTTCCAACATCTCGGTAAACAAACTGTTACTCGATTGTTTCCATTTGCATGGGTTTGACCAGCTTTTTATTTACATCTTCCTTGCTTCCCAGTTCCGAGAGGTATATTCACATTTTTGTGGTAGATAAATCGTTTTTCGGTTATATACCAGTATCCTTTCATCTGTCAAACCTAAAAATCTTTTCTGTTATATAGATTTCCAAGCCGAGGTGGTCCCAGAGAAATTTTACAATGACGAGCCCAACAAAACATGAAGTTACGTTTTTAACCAGAGAGGAAGCTCGGCCAACTTTACGTCTTGAAGATTATTATGACATCGATCTTAAATTTTCAAAACCTGGATTTCGAACTGAAAATGGTCAGTTCAATTGGCACTGCTCTTGTGTTAGCTCGTACATATCTGGTCCATGTGGTTACTTCTTTCGAAATTTTATGCAAAACATCGACAAATTTTTAAAAAATGAAGATGCCTTTGAAAAGCAGCAAAACCGAAATTTATTCATTGAACTAAATTCCCAGTTGATGGGGTGTTTGAAAACACATTCGGCGTATTATAAATCATTTATGGACGAATATTCTTCCCCTTTAGATAATATGCTTAAAGATGTAGAATAAAATGTGAAACATGTAGTTCATTCTGTATTTCTATAAATGCCATTTTTTGACTTTCGCTTTTTAATTCCATTAGTTACCGACTACTAAATGCTCTCTGATAAAAGATGCGGATATTTCATCAAAAGTAAAAACCGATACTGTCGTCAGATTCCTGTACAAGGTTCTGACCACTGCTTTAACCATGCTGGCGTAAGTATACAATGTTTCGCATAACTGCTTCATTTAGGAACTATCCACAAATAGGGTAGTTTGTCCACTAGACTCTAAACAGTAAGCTTTCCTTAAAATTAATGTTGTTTCTCAGTTTTGTCAGCCGGTCCAATCTTGAAAAACATTTGACGAAATGTAACGAAAGTCGTAAAGTTGGGGCTGTAAGCTTTTGTTTTATTATTTCAGTGATTTACAGATTTATAATGTACCTGGTATCAATTCAACTCATTTAGATTTGGACATACCTTCCTCGAAGGTGACATTGGCTAATGTACCAGCGGTAACAGTGCTGAGCTTAATTGCACGCTTGGAAGAACTAAATGCAGGTTAGAGATGATTTCGTGCAATAGGATGTGTTCGTCAGATATGTAATATTTTGTTACCACTCATTATTTATGATATAATCGATAAGCCTTATGCGTTAAAAATAACTATGTTGAAAAGGTTCATCTTTTTGCGCACCGTCTTAGAATTGCATTCATTATCGACCGGTATAACTTAACTAACATTCCGTGCAGTTTTGTGATATCTGATTCTTTCGGGGAATGTATAGCATCACCTTTTCTATTAACGAAAAATTACCTTTTTTGCTATCTGACTTCATGTTTGTAACAACTTTTTCTTCACATATCCAACCAGTAATACGACATCAACCTCGAAGTCCCATCATAGCGCGGTCACTTACACTGTAACGGCAACTTCTTCCTGCCTCATCACTATCCAGTAGACCTTCGTAGTATGGTTGAACCTCAAGGAGACAAATGTTTTCACCAGCAAATTCGAACATCACACCAAAGTAACAGCTATCTGTCGGAACGGATAAATCATCCCAAAACTTTACGCAAAATGGCACCAGTTTATGCTACACCAATTCAAAGTCAACAGAAATGAAATGAATAAATGAATGTTTAGAAAATCGAAGGTTATGCAGCATGAAAAAATCTGCAATAGTACGATAAATTTTGGTTTTTTCCTCATTTATTAATCCTCAACATCTCGAATACGTTAGTCAAGAAGCTTACATTTTCGTTTGCGATTCAAACCTTAAGTTGGTGACCTCAAGAATTGGGACCACGTCCTTTACCTAGTACCTCACCTACTAATTTAGTGTTACTTCTGTTAAATATTAAATAAAACACAGTGAATGAAGTAAAAGTTTCAACGTGTCAGTTCCTTCATTTTATATTAAAAAGTTATGGAAAGCCAATAGTATTTCAGAAGTAATTGGAAAAAGTATACGTGTTTTTTGGTGTAAACATATGTACTCATTAATCCAACAACTAAATGCTTTTTCCATGACCGCCTCCTTCTAACTGAGTAAACAGTTGAGATAACAGTCTAAACCAAGATCTTGGTAACGAGAGTAAACAATATCAAACATTTTGTCATGAAATATTGCACCAATTTCTTCAAGGTGAAGTCATTACTTGTTTCTAGTTTTGTAATTTGTTAATGATTGTTTTGAAACAATCCTACTGTTAATGTACAGAACATATCGCAAGCTTATAACAGTCTATTATTAAACAGCTAACAGAAGTTGGAAATATGGACCATTGGATTGTGACCCGGTGGCTTTATGGTAACATGCTGGCCACGGAACCCGAAGGTCGCGGATTCTATATCCGGTGGGGTCGTGGGTGCGCACTGCTGAGGAGTCCCATACTAGTCGGACGGAACAGCTGTCCAGTGCTCCCAGGTTTCTTTTGTTCCTCCAACTGATGTCAGTCTACGATGAATAACAACTTGAAACAGTAGGGTAATTGCATCATTATACTGGTGCCTAAAACTAAACTCAAGGATAGAAAGTTGTTGAGTAATAATCTTTTCGACAGTGGAAATAATAGCGAAGGTGAGAAGTTTGACTAATGAAAATTGCTGGTAGATGTGAAATACGAAGATTGAGTGTCCATTTATCAGATGGATATGACGGTGAAGAACGAAACAAGGATCATAATGAAGATGATAATAGTAAACTGATTAATTATAGTGAAATCGAAAAAAATGTTGTTCAAGTGTTAAGATCATGGTAGAAAAGAAACTGGACATACTTCTACAGGCAGAGATCGGTCTTGAATTGGTCCGTTATCATTGCTTCTACTAAGCCCAGCTGTCGAGACCGTACTCCTTTTGAACCATTCCCTATGGCTCTCCAAATGACAATGAAGGAGGACTTTGGTGACGTCATATGTCCATAGTTGACTAAATATTCAGGAATTGAATTGTTAACTGATTTACATTCTCTCCTCGACAACTAAGCGGGATAGTGCTCAAAGATACGTTTGGAAACTGTGCACTTTGTACGGCTTATCTTATACAACTACCTCCTCAGGAGTAAGTAACTTTTTAGATACATATTGAGGTGGCCCAAAGCGGTAACATAGGAACTATTTATTGACTAGAGAAGGTGGTCTGTAGCTTCGCAAAGAAAAAAGTCTTCTTCAGCGACTTGGACAGTCGATTCTTCAGGAACTCTGCTGCTATATCACCTTTAAAACTAACGTTCATAAATAAGGTCTTCTCTGTTTCTGTGAGTACTTGCTTCGTATTCTGTTTTAAGTTTTTCTCAATAAATCTGGGTTGGAATCCATCTCGTATGAGCATTTGCCGTAGTTTGTTCAATTTATCGTTGATAGTATCACATGTCAATTCTTCTGATTCTTGGTGACAAAGAACGGATCAGATTCTTTTTAAAACATTTTGTCGGCAATTAGAACCAGGACAACACAATATCATTCATTTAAGACCGCATTGCCTAATTAGGACTATACCTTTTGTTGAACTGTCCAGTGCCTATCTATTTGAGTCTAAACATTTCCTTTATGAGTTTTTGTTCATCAGGTAGTAGTATCAGCCTGCTTACTATTATAGCAGAGAGAAATGTGACCTTACACTCATTGGTAAGCAAAAACCAGTTACCTTTTGATCTTACTTGTTACCCTTGATGGTTTATCTTACTATGATGCACTATTATTCACTCCTGTAGTAAACCTGTCTTTCGATATCTGTTTAGTTGAGATTTAAGTACAGTGACCATTTCCAAAAAAACAGAGTTTAAATTTAGTTGTTATCTGAGCTGGAGTTTTGGCTGATGCTTACCTGATCGGTCACCTAATCCGAGTGTTAACTTTGCTACTTGTCATCTGGTTTTTCTGTACGAATATGTATTCAACACACACTCACTTGGAGTAGATGATTCTGAAGCTTTTTTTTGTACTTTTGACTTGACCAGGTAAAAATAAGTTGACCCACCACCTAGTAGTCGACCATCTCCTCACACGTTTTTCCATTTTGAAAATTTTTCCTACAGTTGAAATAGCGTAAATATTCAAACGGACAAAGTCAACGTGGAACTTTTCACAGAAGTGCTTTCATCTAAATCATCTCACTTCACGAAACACAACAAACAAAATCTACTCAGCATCTGCATGTTCGTGCAGTAGGCAATGAGCTGCACCTATTTTTTGAGGAGTAGTGATACTACTTGACTGCAGGAATTTTGACAGACAGAGTGGGGTTCAAACTCATAAGCCTTTGGTGTGTAGACCAATGGACCACGACTTCACCGTCTTATTTCATAGCATCATGCAAAGAGTGGGTGAATAGAAAGGTTAATGATAAGGTTAAAAAAGTGTATGAAAGAAAAGAGAAAAAATTCAAGAAGTCTTCACCCATCGATTCTTATCCCATTCAGAACCCCAGCCAGGCAGTCTACACCCCGCTTCATGGCTCAGACCAGTCAGAAACTTCATGGACGAATGCCGCGTTTCGACCTGGTCACTCAGCATTCTTTCAACCGGATCATACTTCGGTTACCACTGCATGTCGAGGTAGGCGGTGGCTCGGGATGCGCAACAAATATTTGAGTCACCTCAGTTGGTGAAGGTTCTCAGCCTTACTGACTGAACTGCCTTCCTTACTTAGTACTACTCGCCTAACCTCGACATCGCCTACTTGGTGATTCCACCACAAATGAGCAATACTTTGAAGATACGTATGAGCAAAAACCTGTAATCTCTTCCCGTTTCCCATTAATGGCCATGTCTCATAGCCGTATAGTAGGGCAGGGTGAAATGCAGCACAGGAAACTCGTTCTGTAACATGTAGTTGGATATCGGGTTGGCGTACGCTGGAAAATATCAAACCGTCCTTCTGTATCCGAACTGAGATTTCTTCAACAGTCAACCCCTTCAAGCTGATATAATTTTCATTGTAAGTGATGTGGTCGACTCATTTGACCGCTTCATTGCATTGCAGATCAGTTCTGAAGCCCCTATCTTACATTTGACAGGTGTCAAAGGCACTCAGATTTCTCAAGGTTTTCAGAAGACCCTGCACATTGCTAGCCTTTTTACCTAGAAGTACAATATCCTCTGCATACTCTAAGTCAACCTTATGACCTGAGAGTAAATCAATCCCTATGAAGTCAGATGTGCCTAACTCTGTGTCCAACAGTACGTGTATAACGAAGTTAAATAGGAACGGTGACATTCCAAATCCGTGGTGGACATCACTCGTTTTCGTCAATTCACATGACAACTTACCATAAACCCTTACGTGGCTGTGTGAGTTCGAGTAAGGAGATTTGATAAGCATTGTATACTTGATCGGTACTCCCTTTACGGTAAAACACTGCCACAATACCTCATGGTTGACAGAGTCAAATGTCACCTTCACGTCAAGAAACATGGCAAGTGTCAGTCGCCGGTAATTATTCCTCTATCCTAAAACTCATCGAAGCTTACGTACATGATCGAAGCACCCTTGTCTAGGTCTGAAACCTGACTGATATTCTAAAGTTTATTGTTCTCGAACTTTAATCGGGTGCCAGATAACTGTGCACCTTAGGATCTTAAACGTGATGTTAGACAAACTGGTCTTCCGGTGGTTGTCACGTCTCTGTTTTCCAACAAACTTCAACGATGGGCGACTTAGACTAATTTGCCATAATTACCTTTGATACCCATGAATTACCTAATACCTCAGTTACTCTCCTCAATGAATTTATACTCTTATCCTTAAAAACTGGTGGCAAGCCGTCAGGTCCTGCTACTTGACAACCTTTCAGGTTTCTAAGTTCCCTCACCTTCGGTAAGTTGAAGAATAAACCTCTGCGTCCCATTTCGTTTCGGGCTGGATGCTGTGCAACTGAAGGAAGGTTATAGGTTAGTGGATCAAATCTTGACATTGTTGCACCCAACTTTCTGTCCACCTGTTTGAAGAGGTTATCAAGGATCCAGTCTTTTTCATAGCGATATCATTCTCTTCTTGCCAGTTTCCGTAGTGAGTCTCAATAATCGCCGAGTAATGTGTAGTGTTAACGCCTACA